CATATTTGATGTTTTCCCAAATTAAAACGGATAATTGTTGATTATAGGAAAATTTGGGTATTTAATTAATTAGCCATTTGCTTCAGTGCTGGTTTCTTGATTTGAGATGGTCTTTTAAATGTGATACAGTAATTACCTAATATTTGGAATCTTAATTTTCTCATTTGTAGTTGAAATCTATTGATGATAATTTATTAAAAAGCAGATTTAAGCAGTAGCTACAATTCCCTTTCAAAGAGATTTAAAGTGTACTGACAAGCTTGACCCAGCTCTGTATGGATTGGGCACATTATTGATCAGGAGCAACCCCCATATGGGCAAGTTCACTTCACCACATGCAGTGACTGGTGAGCCATTTAGCCGAGTTTATCTTAGTAGGAAAATAGTTATCATATACGAAGGCTACACACCTTGTGGTTACCTTGAGGTTTAGCTTGCAGCTAATTTGTCTTGACATGTGCTTTATGTGGCTTTCAGTACAAGCTTCACACTAATGTATACCAGCACCTAGTTACAGTTGGGTCCTGTTTCTTTGTCTGGCAAATGTGGCCTCATACCAGGAAGCTGACTGGATATCTTATTGTCAGATGTACTAAATTATTTACATACACATATTAAAACATGTATTTGTAATTATTAGTTGTCAGTCTAATTGGAATGAGTGTATAGTATAAAAAGTATGTTGGGATCCACGCATTCTGTGTGGTTGTGAGTGTTTACAGTCAAGGCTCTGAGTAAGAAACCTTGTGTTTTTAAAGCGCTGCTAGTCACAATATAAACTGTCATGGAAACCCTGTGTGACACTTGCTGTATGCTGACTGACAGACCATCTGTTATGTTATATCTCTATGTAAGTGCTGACTGACTCCTGGTTTGTTTTACCATAGTGTAATCCCAAGATTCATTCAGGAGACAGTTAAGTGTTGATGTTAATTCATAGTATGATATTTTTGTCCTTAGGATTTTTGATGTTCTTTCTTTATTAGTTGAATGTGATTGTTGAGGCAGTGTAGACATGTTTAATTACCAAGGAAAATGGCTGTCAATAATGATGACAGGCAGTTTTGTTGTGATACTTGGTTTTGTGTTGAATGAATGAAGCCGAAACTCTCTGCCCCCAGTGGCGAAGGAGCGCACCACACCTTCCCCTCAGGCCCTGGGCTCAGGGCCAACCTTGGAAAGGCAGTGCTAATGACTGTCGCACAAAGGCCAAATGTCTCACAGCGAGGCAGGGAGAAGCTGGCGAGACTCGGCTCACTTGATCTCGTAACAGAGTTCAGTGTGTGGAGCGAATCCAAGTAGCCAGCCATAGGTGACCTGCACACCATCAACAGTGCTTTTGTAGGTATACCCCAGCCTTCGGATTTTTTGCAGCCTCACTGACCCATCTCACATTCATCATTGTCTGCATTCTTTACCTCTTAACTCTGTCTGCTCCTCATGGGTACCCTTTTTTCTCTCAGGCCTGCAGACTTCCTTGCAGACATCTAAGTTGCGGCAGTCAAATTAACTTTTTCCCCTTACCATGATGTTAGTGGTTTGCTCGTTTTCACTGAGCGTTTTAGAGCTCACACTCCCTGTAATAGTCTGCTCAAGTGCTCTTTTGATTGTCTTGCATCCAGTGAAGCATTGAAAAATTGGCCAGAGGTCACTGATACTCTTACTTAAGTGAATTTAGACTAGGAGCAGGTACTTTATGGGCAGCATGCGGCATTGAGGACCTCATTGCACAAAAAGTGGGTTTTCTAGAGGTGAGTTCTCTGTCTCTCTCTCTCGCACTATCTCTCTCTCTCTCTCTCTCTCCACTGTAAGCTATTGGCTTCCTGCCCAGGTCTGCGACACTGGGGAACTGAGAAGCTGAAGTGGGCACTTCTAAAGCAGCTCCACTAAACACAGGGCCAAGGACAAAAGGTGTGTGCATGTGTTTATGTGTGTTTTACGTGTTTGTGCTCACTCCAGTGAATGAGTGGAACATGCACACGGAAAGAATCCTTTTAAGCAGAATGCAGGATCACAGGCTATAGTGGTTCATCCTCTGCTGCAGGCATGTACTGTACATAGAAGGGTGTGTGTGTGTGTGTGTGTGTGTGTGTGTACCCAGGCTGCATCCATAATGCATCCTTTTAAGTGAGGATCAGGATTATGGTTGTAGTTGTTCATCACCTGTTCTTTCATTTGATAGGTATAATGCTTACAACAGATAATGAGATAATTAAGCTAGATATTAAAAATTCCTTGAGAGACTGATCATTTTGAGGAAAAGCTCTTGCAGCAGCTGCTGCAGATAGAAACACATAATGAATTTGCAATCCCTACGCTCCAGCAAGAACCAAATCAATTGCTTTGACAAAGTCTCCGTGTGGCTGACACCATGACTTTGCTCTCTCGCTGGAGATGAAAGAGGCCTGACAGTTATGGAAATCGCCACAGGGAGGAACCTGTCATCAAACATGAGGTGTTGACACTTGTTGTTGTAGTTGTTGTTGTTGCTGCCGTCGTCATTGCTGTTTGCAGCCCTCACATAGGCAGGCCTTCGGAGAGAGAAGCACGGTGTGAACATGTGCCATCAATGCTAGCATGGGGCTGCCACTTAATTCATCCACATTTAACTAAACTGATGAGGGGGCGGGTATGTGTTGTAGTCTGAGGACACAGCACAAGTTGAGGATGGATACAGTATTTTCAGAGTGTAGTAAAGAGACATTTTTCGCAAACATTTTTAATGCTTTTTTTTATATTGTTACCCAGTGACTGATGCTGCATTGACACCTCTTTTCATTTTTAAGGTTAAGAACACTTAATATTTGATAGCTTCCTGAGGACATGGTAGATATGACTGTGGGATGAATGCAAAACAGAGAGTTAAGTACTGATCTCTGTGTCTGTGTGTCTTTGCAAAAATTGTGTTTATCTAGTTTTGCTCATTATTATCATTGTAGTGCTGAGTTTCATCCTCACTCTTGGCGCCCTGGTTTATGTTAGAGTGCTCACTTCAGCCCAGGAGAATGAATGGCTCTTGACGTAAAGCACTGGGCCTTCTACTTCCATCCTTTTGCTGCCCTGTGGCTATGTGCACATACAAACTGAGGCACAAATGCAGTTAGACAATATACAAATAAATATAGCTACATGCCTGCATACACACCCAGCGGTAAGACACAAACACGCAATAATACCCTTCCCTGCTGTCATTCTCCTCCTTACCTTGGGGAGGAGAGCTGACGAGAGGAGAGGAGCTGGGAGTGAGAGGTTTTCTGTAAGATGTTCCCCTGGGTTCTGATGACTCGCCTGGTTTGAAAGAACTTAATGGAGTTGAACTAAGGGCTAATCAGCTGGCCAGCACGCATGGTGCTGCATTGGAGAAGAGCAGGCAGTCACCCTTACAAAACCCTTCTATATGAAAATGTCACATGGGCTGTGAGGTTGTTTTTTTCCATGACCTAATATGAAAACAACAAAAGGATTATCAGAAAAACAGGCTGTATAGACATTTCACAAATAGCCACTAACCTCTGCTTCCCTAACAAAAGCTATGCCGCGGCAGCCTTAGATGTGGGCATAGTTCTCCGGCCAAAATATAATGAAGAGGGATAAATGTGACCGGATCCGCAAGCTCTGCGGTCATTCTGTGGACAGCATCTTTGCCACTGGGATCAATATAAACAGCATTGAAGTATTCTAGCTCTTAGCACCTTACCCTCCGCTACCTTACAATTCCCACATTACCTTCTCTGTGTTGGCATTCACACATGAGCAGCTTGAGTGACAGTGACATTTTTATGGTACTCGTCCAGACAGCAACCACATCCGTCCCTCTGGGCCGTCTCTCTCCAAACCCCTGCTTGAGGTATCGAGCTGTTCTGCTTCCACCCAAAAAGCCCTAATATACCCACTATCAATAAGTCAGATTGACTGAACTGCAGGCACACAGAGTGAACTGTACATACAAGTCAATTCAAAACAACAGACTGTTGTAGGTTATTATGTGGAGGAGGTGGAAATCAACGTAGGAGCCTGACTAGACAGACGAATTACTGCCTCTGCTTCTAAATCAAAACTGTCTAAAATTGATTTGTTTTCCTTTCCTCACATTTCCCTCTACACTGTTCACACTGTTGATGTCCTGTTCAAGGTGCTGATAGTAGTTGTTTCTGAATCGCCATAAATCCAGTAGTATGAATAATTTGTCATTAAAATATGCCAGTCATAAGTGCTCTGCCAGACTTAGAAGACTTATCCATTCAAAATTCATTTGGAAATTCATTTGGGCACAGGATTGACGTGACCTTAAGTTGCCCCTGTCTACCCTGCACTAACATGCCCTGAGTAAAAGGGGAGAGAGGTGCTAATGTGAAGTGGAAGAGAGCCTGTGTGTTTTTTTTTTTCCCAGTTTAATAAGTGTCAGTCAGGAGGACTCGAGGAGCTCTTGCCTTAAAATTCTGAGGCAATAGCAGCCTCCTCTCCTCTCCTCTCCTCTCCTCTCCTCTCCTCTCCTCTCCATGTGCTGTTTTCCTGGCTCTAATCATGTGGCCATTGTGTATGGATTTACTGCCCTCAGTGCCCCCAGGGGGGAGATTTGATTTTTTTCCCCTGCACTGGCTAATCTTTCCCTCTCACACTCTATTTTACTTTTCTAATTCTGTCTTTCTCTCCTCCTCTTGCAGACTCAAGATGTTTTTGCTGTCTTCTCTTCCTTAATATAATCACCCTTAGTTGACAGGAAGCATGAATTTATTCTCTGGCTTTGTCGTTATTCCGTATTTCTCACTCTTTCTGACCCCATCTTCCTCCCGTCTTTTCCTTTCCTCCCACTTTGCATCACACATACTTAATTCAAACATTGCTCACAATAGTACTGACTGAAACAGCTGAAATGATTGAGTAGCGGCATGCTAAATATGCACGCATTATTGCTAAGCAATTACAGTTAAATGGCAGAATGTATTACTGACTGATTTGGTTGATGAATGTGTTTTGACTCATTGTTTACTGTTTTCCAGCCACTCTCACTCTCCTGGCTCCATGGCAGCAGCAGTGCGAGGCAGTGAGTGGTCATGTGGACGCTGCACCTTCTTAAATGCCGGCGCAGCACCTCGCTGTTCCATTTGTGAGGCACCACGCCAGAAACCTGACCTTAACCAGATCTTGCGGCTGAGCAGCACCGAGGAGCATCGCTGGGCCTGTCCTCGCTGTACCCTCAACAATCCCCAGGGATCTGGAGCCTGCTCTGTCTGCGGCTTTGGGCCATCTCCTGCCACTCACACGCCTCCTACCACCACCATAGCCGCCACTGCCAACGGCCTCCCGTCTGCTCCGACTGAACCTCCGACGCCCACCCTCACGCCCACAGTTCTGCTTGAGCCCCATGGACAGCATCCAGCTAAGGAGGAAGTGCTGCGACGGTCTGAGAGCAATGGAGAGGTGAGCAGCCTGGAGGGGCAGCACTCGGGCTGGGCTTGCCCTCGCTGCACACTCCACAACACACCCGTGGCTCTGTCATGCTCTGCCTGTGGTGGGCCCAGGAAACTGTCTTTGCCTAAAATCCCCCCTGAAGCACTGGTGGTGCCTGAGGTACGCACACCTGTGCTAGGATTTCCTGTCCACACAGCAGGGGCTGCCCCACTTCTCATAGACCTAACAGATGACTCTCCCCCAGCCCCTCCTTGCGATCCTCAAGAACCTCCCCATGTGTCCTCCCCCTTTACTTCTTTCTCCTCCCTCCAGAACAATCCTGTGCCCCGCAGCAGGAGAGAGGTGCCCCCTCCAGGGCGCCCACCAAACGCAGGCACCAGCACTCCCAGTCCCACTTCACCCTCAGCGGCCAGTGTGCCACCCCAGCCAGGCCCACAGCGGCCAGCCAAGCCCAAACATGCCCAGCCCCAGGAACCTTCATACCCAAGCAAGCGCCTCAGTATCTTGGAGGAAGAAGACCCTCAGCACCACCCACTGACCCCTCACCTCCCGGTTGCTTCCCCAGCCGCCCCCACCTGGAAGTGCCCTAGCTGCTCATTGCCCAACCCAGGTAGCTCATCTAAGTGCGAGGCCTGCCGATCATCGCGGGCTGGTGCTGACCTCATTGACCTTGTAGGCTGTGAGACGGTACGATTTACCCCGGCCAGCCCCTCCAGCCCGGACTTTAGCACCTGGGCCTGCTCCAAGTGCACCCTGCGCAATCCTACTGGTGCACCCAAGTGCTCAGCCTGTGGTTCTTCCAAGCTTCATGGCTTTCAGGAGCAGCAGCCGCCCCTGCCCCGCTGCTGTACACACTGTGGCCTCCCATCAGGGTCTGGTACTGCATCATGCTCCTGTACACCTTCTTCTTCTTCATCCTCCTCGGGTCATAAAACACGGAAACAGATCCGGAGCTTCCCTTCGTCCTCCTCTGCTATCGCTGCTTCCAACTCCTCTTCGTCCTCCACCTCAGCGAGCCTTCAAGAGAAGGTGGGACAGTGGAGCTGCCCTGCATGTACTCTGCTCAATGACATCAAGGCCAAGAACTGTGCAGCGTGCCACACGCCCCAGCAGTACCTCACCCTTCGCAAAGTGGTGAAGCCTCTGAAGAGGAGGGAGAGCATGCATGTAGAGGCCCGTCGACGAAATGACGAGGGCGAGGCCAAGGAGCTGTGGGAGAACATCGTCAGCTTCTGCAGAGAGGTAAGAGGAAAATGTTGTAGCTGGGAAACACAAAAACAAACATCAACGCTTTTATGCCACATGGTTCACGGTTAGAGACACAGTGTTACATGTCATTAGAACATTATAAGAGCTTGGGACTGTCTATGGTGAGCTTTCTTATACTACCTGGACTTCTATCACTTCATAAGAACTTGCAGCTAGTAGGTTTTTCTATTGTACTGAATCTGTATTATCCTTATAGGGTGAACAAGTAAAGCCAAGCAGCAAGTTTTCATCCACAGGCAACTGACACTGGTCATTTGTTCCCCTGCAAATATGAGTTCCGCATGTGTCACCATTTTCTTTTCATTTCCTTGAGTTTTCCTTGACTTCTTTGAGAAGTCGACGTCTGCTTATTTCAATGTGTGATGCGTCACAGGGTGCACATTGGCTTGCAGAGCACAGTTCCTTCATTGTAATTCCTCTTTTTGTTACGGCTCTGGCATTGTTCCCACTCCCACAATGTCTCTAATTTCAGAGAAATGCTAATAGGCTTTGTCATTGCCTCTGTTTGCAGTTGCTTCGTTAGCTGCGTTTTAAACGACCAGCGGGTGAATCTTGGCCACCTAAATGAGCTGCAGATACAGAGCGTCTCATTTTTCTATCCAGACTACAAGCTGCCCTCGGTCACAGAGAAATCACTTCAGAAAATTCTGAAACTCTCTGTTGCAGGACTGTAACTCTTGTATCTGGAGACTCTGGGAGAGTTCTGTATTAGGAGAGTTCTTAATAGACTCTATTGGGATGGTTTTTTTTCAAATCCTGACAGCTTAGTTTGAGTCAGACTCTATTTCCTGTCCTCCGTTGACTCTAACCACAAGTTCTTGGGAGATATTAGACTACTTAATGAAATACATTTTACTGTATAATGGCAGACCTGTCTGTGAGAGATAAAAACATTTTTGATCATTCTGAATGTAATTTCCCTTTAAAGTGAACCTAACTGCTTCCATTCGCCAAGTTATTAAACCATCAGAGCTGTGGTTCTTGTTAAACGCTCCTTTTTATATCAATATACAGCCTGAAACAGAACATTTTCATTAAGTTGCATAACTGTCACATGGAAACAACTTGATCAATAAAGGCTTTTTTTTTTCTTAATAGAGAAAAGGCTAATTGTGCAATTGTGCTTTTGTAATTGCAGGCTTGTCTGTCTGTCATAATGAGCTAAAATAATGATCCAGCGCCTCGGCATTTAATGTTCAAAGATGAGGAAACATCATGAGCTCCGATTATTGGTCTGAGTCAAAGTGTCACAGCTGTTTGAGGAAACAGAGATGTCTTCCCTAGCAACTAAATTTAAGGTGTGACAACCTTTTATGTTGCTGCTTTGTATCACACCACTTCATGCTCACTTTGTCTCTGCAATGAACCTTTGATAAGCCTGTGTTATGTTGTCATGGATATTCTCAGGGCTGTCACAGGGGTTCATTTGAGACCATTTTTTAAGACGACTAACACCTCTGCTAATGAGACAAACCTGATTGGACTAATTAAGCCTCAGAGAAAATGTGGGTGTTGCAGAATCCAGAACTTTTTTATTTTTTATTTATTTATTTTTCAAAATTTTTTTTTTTTTTGGACCAAGCTTATATTTTCTGAATTTATTTGGGTGTGTGTGATGCGTGCCCACTTTCTTAACCGCCATGGCACCTATCATGCCATGTTTACAATAGCATGAAGTGAGCTTTAAAATGCATTATTAATGCCTTCTTTGAAAGTCACAGGGCCCACTGCTGTGAGCGTGGGAGGGAAGTTGGCTCAGTAGGAAGGAAGGATATCGAGATCCCTCATCCCCACCTTCCCCTCCTCTTCCCTAATTTAAGTTCGACATTTAAACTACTCTTTCTTTTATCATCTTTCCCTTTTTTTTTCGACAAATATTTAAGGCCTCCTTCTCTCTAGCTCTGCCCCTCTGCACTCTTCAAAGTACTTTCCCCCTCTTCATCTCCTTTTTTATCCCATCTCCTTCATCACATCCATCCTCACATGCTCATTCTGTTCCTTTTTTTTCTTCTTCTTCTTCCTCTCTGCTAATATCTCAAAATATGCTTTCCCCTTGCCACCCAGCGCACCCCCTCCACCTCCATCCCACCTTCTCCACATGACTGCACTCAATTCTCCAGTGTAGCAGTTAAAATGTGTGGCTGGCTGGCTGTGTGCGTGTGTGTGTGTATGTGTATGTGCTAAGGTGAACACAGGGGCTGGTCTATTTTTAGCAGCAGAGCTAGAGAGGAGAGGAGCAGAAATGATCCTCTTCCCTATAGTGAATGTAATCACTAACAGCATCAACTGCTGCAGCTCAGTTTTAGGGGTCAGAGAGATGAAGGGAGGTAAAATTGGTAAGAAAGAGGCGCTAGTCTTTCTAATCCATCTCTGTCAAGGCATTAACACTTGGCAAGCATCACAGTACCGGTGGTGAAAATGTAATAATGATAAAAGCTTTTGGTTTAGCCTGTTACAAGGTGTGTGTGGGCAGTCCATTCACACAAACACGGTGCAAAGTTTCAGACCATAAGTTTTTATTTGTTTAGTTCCAGACCTGTCGGGTTATAGCAGATTGTGTTGCTGATGAAATTTACTGTATAAGTTACTGGAGAGTTTATCCAGATTGCAGCAATCAATAAAGACCAAAAGTGAAGTGTGAAGCGTTATTGTGTAAGAAATATTATTCTCTCTTCACCTGAGTGCAGTTAATCTCTCCTGCCTCTTTGCTTTTCTACTCTCCTTGATTGGTTTTGAGAGCGAGAGGTGTGCTCTTGGTGCCAGTGCCCCAGAGCGTGTCCGCTTACTCACTGTGCCAAACGAGTAAATGCTACTAAGAGCCATCAGCGCCGCTTGTGAACTGTAAAACTCAGCATGGCTGGAACTGGTTCCTCTGTTACCTCTCCATGTCAACCTCTGATAGAGCAACAAAAAGATGCTGCATGGCAACAGATTGACTTTGATTTGTTTTTATTTTTCCTCTTAACACCACTCTATGTGCTATTTGTTGCTTGAATTTTTGCCACACTCGGGATTTTATCTGGGGTTTTGGTTTACATGTTGGATTGTAAGTTGTGACTGCCTGCAGTGACAGGTTCTCACTGCCTGTGACAGTCTTGTACATGCCAGGTTGTTCTGGGACGCTTTTGTTTTGGGTTTAATAAGTGTGGCGCTGTGAAATCCAGCTCTATAGTTTCTTGTCACCACATATTTCCAAGATCAATATGTTGTCTGTAACATGTAGATGTCTCGCTACAAGCTTACTATCCTCAGGAAAGGCCTTGTGTGGCTGCCAGTTGTGTGTAGTCTGGGAGATGCTGAAAGGCAGCAGGTTTTCTTAGCTCAGCACAGAATTGGCTGATTGCAGTCTTGGGTTTGCATGCTGGCATGTGCCCAGTGCTAGAATCAGAGACAGCAGCAGCAGGTACACTCGATGAGGACGCACAGCTAGACTTACACTGGTAGACGTCACAACAACGCAGCCTGAATTACGGGGAAATGTTTGTATATGTGTATGTTATTCATAGTCCTTACACAATCCAAAAATGTAATAATTTGTACTTTGGTACTAATGTTCTTTATCTTATTACTTATATTGTTATCTAATTGTACATAATCTTACATACATTTTAATATATTATCATCATTAATATTAGTATATTGTAACTGTATCGGGATCAGCTTGTTTGTGAGGTACTCAGAAAATGAAGCATTTAGTTTGAATTAGTTCATAGATTCTGATTACTTACTAAGATTTAGACCTTGTCCCTGAAAAGACATTATCCTCATATAACACCCTGTGCACTCTTGATGTGAATAGACTTAATTTCAGCCTGTACAGCACAGTCTTCGCCTCACAGACAGACTGCAGCAGACGACCCTGCTGATTATCAACTCTGTCAAATAACCGGAACAATTGGCTCAAATATGTCCATGATATAAGAGGTGGTTGCAACAACAGTACCCTCTGGATGTCAAAGAAATGGATTGAAAATATATTGGAAGCACATGGCAGAATATCCTGGCACACACTTTGTGTACTGTGTACTAAAGTTCCCTTTAACCTGCAGATGAGAGAGTGAGAAAATAAGCATCTACCTGCCAAACAGTAAAGTAGTTCTCAAAATAATTAATTAAATCTTAAAACACTGAATGTAAAACTCAGCTAATGCATAGCATTGCATCAAACACCCAGCTTAGGCTAAATTTGGAGCATCAATTATCTATACCGCTTAAAGTCACAGGAGGGCTGGAGCCAATCCCAGCTGACATTGGGCGAGGGCAGGGTACAAGCTGGACAGGTAACCAGTCTTATCACAGGTCTGACATATAGAGACAAACAGCCACTCACACCTATGGGCACTTTAAAGCCGGCAATTAATGTGCTTATTGTGGACTGTGGGAGCTGAAGAACCTGGAGAGAGCACAGGCAAGCACAGGGAGAACAAACTCCACACAGGACATGCAATCTCCACACAGAAAGGCCCCAGGCCTGGGGTTTGAACCCAGAACCTCTCGCTGTGAGGCGACAGTGCTAACCACTGCAACACAGTGGTGCCCAAAATTTGATTGAACTATGTCCACACCTGACTCACCAGATTAAATAGAATAATGTCTGCAGATGGTCGAATGCTTGGTGGCAAGTATCTGGGCATGCTAACTTATTTATGTAGCTAACCTGTATATGGCTAACCATTAGGATTTAGAAAAATACTTTATCGTCTTAGCTTAACCAATCACGTTGTGTGTTTGAATAGCAGTGTAAAAAAATTAGGAATCATTTCTGCATTAGCACCTGCCTCATAAGAGAGAAGCCACAGTAACTACCTTACAGCTGGAGCTGAGCTCTGACACGGGCAATTTGGACTTAATGAGGCTGACTCTTTAACCTCTTGCTCACTGATCACAGGCTTGTTTTTCCTCATTACTCTATAGTCTTGTTTATGTACAGACTGTGCTCTGGGTGACTTTCATTTGAAATTTAGTCTCTGTAAGTGTTCAGGGCCAAAGCTTCTCTCTCCACCTCTGTGGTAAATCCACATTGGCCCCTAAGCCCACGCAATAAAAGCCAGTACAAGGGTCAAACATAAACCAGTGAGCTACAGAATTGCTAAGCTACATGGAGACCTCGGATGGTCGGGGCTGTAAGGCACCGCAAAGTGATTCTGTCGGGTAGCAAACGCTGCATCCAGGCTACAGGATTGGATTGTGGGGCATGGCGACTAATCAATTCGCCTCACTGTGAGCCATCAGTGGGGTGCCCACAATACATCCCCCTGCCTGCCTCGCAACATAACTGTCTGAGCCCACTTCTGACACCACAAATAGGAAACCGTATAGGGTTGCGTGTGTGTGGCTGTTTGCCCTCTCAGGTTCATACAGGAAAGTTTTAGATGGGCAGATACTGTGTCAGATTGGGTGTCTTGATCTGTTAATGTATCCATGTAGACCAGGTCGTGTGTACAGTAGAGAGGCAGCTACATTTCGGAGTGTTAAAATCCAGTGTGTCATTTTGAATGCTTGCTGCTCTGCAGAAATATGTCAGAAAGTGAAGCGCTTCAAATGTTTGAAAGCGATTTGCATGTGTGTCCTATATCCCGGCTGCTACACGGCAGCCTGCTCTCACCAGCTCCTTTGGGTGTAGATTTAGGAGGTTTTAGATAAGACATTTTCTCCTAACAATCTTCATTTCCTTACATGGAAGTCATGATGACAATATTTACAGCATTACACAGGTTCAGTCGTCCCACTCTTTTGTCTCCCTCATCACTTCTCCCTCCACCCTCCACCCTACTCTCTCCCTCTCGTCCCTGTTCAGAACGCTGTGAACTTTGTGGATGACAGTTTCCCCCCGGGACCTCGCTCCGTGGGATTCCCAGAGGGCGACAGCGTCCAGCAGCGAATCAAAAAGTGGCTGCGCCCCCACGAGATCAACTGCAGCAACTTCAAAGACCGAGGCGTCAAGTGGTCCGTCTTCCGCACGCCACGGCCCTCCGACATCCTGCAAGGCCTGCTCGGAAACTGCTGGTGAGTCGTCAGAACCGAATGCAAGGACGCGTAGGACACTAATCAGCCTAGATAACTAGAATGATCTAGAGACAGACAATTCATTTACAACAAGTCTTTGAAAAAGCACATGGAAATATGCCCTGATTAATGCTTTGACCCAGGACAAACGAGAATAGCTGAAAATCCCCAAAGTAGAAGGAAATGTTTTATTCCATTCAGTCTCTGTGAGAGGTCAGAGGAATATAAAACAGACAACAGATAACACTTCAGGTCTGTGTGGTTTTTCTGTGAGTCTGCTTTAGATGAACACTGCAGCCTGAAGCAAGGAGAGAGAGAGAGAGATGGAGACAGTGACAGAGAGGCAGTGAAACAATGAGTAAAGAAAGAGAAAGCGAGAAACTTAAAAAATTGGGAGACAGAAAAAGAAGGTAGCGAGGATTAAATGACTGAGAGAGCAGGCTAGAGCTGGACAGATGTACAGATACACCTGACAGGGAGATTATTCACCGGAATGTGGGTCTGGACACATGCTTTATCTCCCTGCCCTTGTTCTGTATGTCCTTTCGGGGTGCGCGTGTATGTGTGTGTGTTGCCATACACCACCCCACCCCCCCCACCACCACCCCCCCACCCCACACACACACACACACACACACACACAAAGAGCAGTCAGTCAAAAGTTGCCCCAATACAACTTTTCACTTCATCACCAGCACACACAGCTTATCAAAAATAACCCTCCCCAGAGAGGAATCCTCTCACTCGCAACAGGATGTAACCCAAATCCTTCCTCTTAGGCTGCATCTCTCTCATTCTCACTCTCACTCTGTCTCTAATACACACACACACACACACACACACACACTTGTCCTAATAAACCAGCAAACACCCCAGCTCCCGCCAGCCAGCCAATGACAGCAGAAGAAAGTAGTGCCAATCACCCTTGTCCTTGAGTACAGCCGTGATACAAGCTGACATTAGAGTCACATTATGGCACGGCTAATTGGATTTTCATTTGATTCTTTGTAGCCGATTGGTTTTTCATCAGCGACAGAATGGGCTGATCGGCCTCGCTCAGCTGCCACTTGAACAGATGGAATATAGCTTTAATAATACGCATTTCCAGCCCCACACAAAAGAGTTTCAGTCTTTAAATGGTTTCTGTGCTAACACACATCGACGGGTGGATTGAAAGTGATATTTCTTCATTCTGTAGATATAGTGGCAGCAATACCGGTGGCAAAAGTAGCTTCTCAGTTTGGTAGATTTTAGTTGTGTTGTTAATACGGGGGTCAAAATACTGCATGTGCAAAATTAGTGGTAAGTCAGCAGCGCACAAAGAGAAATATTTTTAGCTCATTGTCCCAAAACCTCCTCTGTTTGTTGGTGTTTCATCAGTATTGTATGATCTCTTTCTACATTTTCCGATGAACTAATGTTCACTTTAAGAAACATTCCTTTTAAGTTGGATCCTTGTGTCCCCAGCCACATCATTTTTGTGCGGGGAATTAGCATATTCTGATGTAGCTGGATTTTTGATTAACTAATTTCTGTGGCAAGCTAATTAGAGGAGCCAGTTTGTCTTTGCTGCAGGGTGAATTAACAGTAATGGGGAGGTAACCAGAAGGCACAGAAGCTTGACTCATCAAATGTGATTGATTTTCAATGAGCGCTAATTATGTATTAAAAAAAAATCATAACTTTTCATAACTGCTCAAGGTATCTTGCGGAAAAGGATGTTTTAATTCCAGATTTAGAGGTTTCTTGTGAGTCTGTTTCTTTTTTCTCTACGATTGCGCCTGTCAGTCGACATTCCTTATCCCTGCCCGTCTGTTTGAATCCAGGCGCCCATTCAGCCATCTACCTGTCCGTCACAATCCGTTGATCATTTATGTCTTTTATTCTCCACCCGTTTCACTGCTTAATTCACATTGTCGTTGCACTTTGTTTCAGTCACATCCTCTCATTCACCCATCGGTCCGCCCTGATCCGACATTTCATTTTCCAGTTCATTGAGTTTTATCTCCCTCCAGGTTCCTGAGCGCGCTGGCGGTGCTGGCGGAACGTCCAGAGCTGGTGGAGAGGGTGATGATCACCAGGACCATCTGCCCAGAGGGGGCCTACCAAGTTCGGTTGTGTAAAGACGGGACGTGGACGACTGTGCTGGTGGACGACATGCTGCCCTGCGATGATTATGGCTACCTCCTCTTCTCCCAGGTCAGACATGTGGGGAATCCTGTAGGGAGGGATATACTGTTAAGGTCAGTGAGGTTGCATCTGAAAGAGATAGAAAAAAACTCATCATCTGATGCACACGGACTTGCAGCGTTAATTTATTTGATCCACAAACCATTGTAAACCATCAAGGTAACAAAACATGTAGTGGATGTTTGACTGAACATAAACTCTTTGATGTGTCTGTAAACAGTGCGTCATGAAGCCACATTCACCTCATTATTTGTTGCAGCCTTACAACAATGTAATATTAACTTCTTAATATGAGAGTTCAAGATAATTCATTATCTAGCTTTTTATCACGAGCATGTCTCAGAGGACCCCACAGAGGGGGAACGTACCTAGAGGTCTAATTAATCAACAGTCAATTTCAGGACAAATGAAGTACTGCATTATGCAACAAATAAAGCAGAGGGAAACAGACAGGCGCACAGACATGCTGGAGAGGCATACTATATAACATCATATCTTTCTACATACTGCACCACTAATCTTAGATTGTCAAAGAAGCCGAGGAGTAAAATACAAGTAAAAAAACGTAAAAAATGCTTCAACAAAACCAAAGTGTGGCGTGATAAAAAAAATGTGGTTATCCTGTTCAGAAACCTCTTGAACATTTGAGTCGTAGCCAACACCTTAAAACAAGCGTCACAGCAAAGATAACATCCTGTTTCAAATGTCAGTGAGCCGTACCCTGGTTCACACATGACTAAATATTTCCTCTTTCTCTTTCCCATCTTTTTAGGCCCAAAGGAAGCAGTTATGGGTGGCGCTGATTGAGAAGGCCCTGGCCAAACTCCATGGCTCCTACTTTGCCCTGCAGGCAGGGCGCGCCATCGAGGGTCTGGCCACGCTGACGGGGGCTCCCTGTGACTCACTCATGCTCCAGGTCAGCTCCACCAACCCCCGGGAGGAACCTATCGATACAGACCTCATCTGGGCCAAGATGCTCAGCTCCAAAGAGGCCGGGTAAGAGAAAGAAGAAATATTTTTGTGTGGAATTAGAGGATGAGGAATATTTTTTTTGGCTTGCTTTTCTTTCTTTCTGTTTCTGTAACTCTCCACTGTGTTCTGTTAAACAACAGAACACATACACACAGTGCCTGTTCAATAGATTGGTATATTCTTGTGCGAACATTTGGAAGACTCTGAATCAATATTCACAATAATCACAACTACAAACACTCAGGTGCTACAAGGCTACAAAGGTGCTAATTTGCAGCATATGTCAGTAATGAAAGAGCTCTGCTAATCAGCTCTTTGATACGTGAGCTTTCAAAGCAACATGAAACAACTAGCAGAGCTGCGAAGGGGCCAAATCATCTGTGGCCAAACTGCAGGTCCATCTGTCAGAAAAGCTGCAGCATTTCATGTAGCAAAAGGGAAAATAATGACAACATGTCTGGAAAATAAGGACAATATATATATTTTACTAAACAGAGACAAGGTTCATCAGAAAAATGTTTGACATATGGATAAATAACTGATATTTGTTTTAAGCTGATGTTTGTCTGTAACCGACTTCGTCAGAAAAAAGAAAGAGGTTTGATTTTTATTCTGAGGCTTTTCTGGTCAGATAAAGATTTAATAAGCCAAGAAATGATGAACTTAATTAACTATGTAAAACAGAAAAGACTGTTGAAAATACTTTGCACAGAACTTAAGTTACCTCCCTTGGGCTTAGGGGCCAATATGGCTGCATTGTCACAACAGTATGTTTGCCAGTGACACTGCAGTGAACCCTTTGTGTCGCCCTTGTCTGTCAGGTTTCTGATGGGTGCATCTTGCGGAGGAGGCAACATGAAGGTAGACGATGTTGTCTATGAGTCTCTGGGTCTAAGGCCTCGACATGCGTATTCCATCTTGGACGTACGAGATGTCCAGGGTTACAGGTATGGTGGTCTTTCTGACCCCTTGGTGTTTGTCCATGTGCTGTAACTATATGATTTCTGAGTCATGATTTCTTAGAAATGTTCATATTTTTAAAATTGGCGACCGTAACATAAACCGATGCAGATATCATAAGTATCTGGGAGAGTCCTTTATTTCTGTGTTAAATGATGTAGAAAATAATATTTAAAGCAAAAAACTGAAATGAGAAACAGAATGGGGGAAAACAGCTCCACCACCCCCCACTCTGTAAGTCCCATTCCACTTACAAAAGATGTGTAATGTAGTTGTCTCAAGGCTGAAACTGCTTAATTCCTCCTGGTCCTCCAACTCCATCTCCCATTCACAACTGATGTATATTTTATAGTCAGAACCAATAAATCATACAGCAGGTTGCACTGGCATTGGAAAGAAAAGGTGCCTTAAAGATTTTGTTCACTCATTTAAAAAACATATTCATAAACAAGTCTTGCCTCAAATTTAAAGTTACATGTTATATATTATAAACATTGATGAAAAGGTGTAGAATTGATTGAACAGATGCATTCTTTGTGAACGTATAAATGATTGACAGGTAGGTGGGAAATGGGGCTTGGTACAGAACAGTTTCATCACTTTGATCAGGGGAGCATTGTGAGTCCACACAATGGAGGCTTCTTCGGTCTTACCTGTGAGAGGAAGTTGTGAGTAGCCTCAAATCCCAGATGTAATTTGCTCAAGAGCCACACACAGCCACTTTAATTTACTGCCATAAAGCAATCGGAGTGGAAGATTGGGCCACAGCGCTTGATCTAAAATGAGTTGGAGTCCTCCTGCTAGGAGCCCGAGGAGATGAAAAGCAGCTTGGAAACTGTGATTCACCTGCATTTTTTTTTTTTTGGAAAGTGGGGACTCTGCACTATGGTTTTCTATTACACCTCCTAAGTTTTTCACTGTAGGGAGGAGGCCGTGAAATGAAATGGGTTGTTAAAAAGTAGCCAGTCATCCATAAGAGGAGCAATATGAGTCTGCAGGGATGGAGATGCTGCGTTGATTGAAAGCTGTTGTCACTCTAACTGGATCATGTATTCAGCTCTCCCTGCCTGTCATTCTTTGCCCGTGCTTCAGGTTGCTGCGGCTGCGTAACCCGTGGGGTCGCTTCTCGTGGAACGGCAGCTGGTCGGATGAATGGACAGACTGGCCACAGCACCTGCGGCATGAGCTCATGGCTCATGGCAGCAGTGAGGGCGTCTTCTGGATGGAATACACCGACTTCATAAAGTAAGAGACAAGTTTACACAATATAATGTGATCTACTGAGACCAGTGATTTTTTTTTTTTTTTTTTTTTTTTTTTTTTTTTTGTTGGCTACCTCAGGAATCAGTTGGTCTGAATGAGTTTCATTATAGACTCTGCAGAATGAGATACATTAAACTATTCAGCTTATTTTCACCAAGACCAATGGCACCACAATATCTTCAAGTGGTAACCTACAAGTTGCAATTTGTAGAAGGGAATCACATCTTAAAGTAACTCCATCTTATTCATTCACTGGCTCATTCTTGGTTTGCCTCTCTGCCCCCAGAGGCCCTCAGGAGTCATGGCGGCATCTGAACTGGGATATTTTGTCAACATAAATTACCATTGCTCTTGCATATGACTTCACAGTCGGTATCTGAGCCCACTGGAATGATGGACTGCTTATTAAATATTAGCCATGGTGACTGTGGCCGCTAACGCTACACTTACCCACTTCTTTTGTGTATTCCAGACACTCCACTGTTGGACACGTAAAATGCATGACTTCCTGAGAGGGTTTATCCCAGGAAAGATCTACCCAGCACCGGCTGTTTTGAATAGCAAATGTCAAAGCTTTTGTTAACTGAGTGCAGGTGAAATGACTCTCAAAATCTCCTTTAAGTGCGCAGTAATGGACGCACATAATGTGTGATGGATGGCTTCGTAATCTCATGCCTCTGCGGATGTTACTGACCATCTGGTATTGACACCAAACTGAATGACAGCATTTTTTGTTGTTGTTGTTTTTAGTGCATTGTGTTTGTTGACAAGCGCATCATACAATGTTTCCCACACCATGGCGTTATTATGGAACTGTGTTTGTTTTGTTTTTTGTTTGTTTTGTTTTTTTGTGGTTGTGTTGGTTGCCAGAGATTTGGCAGGCAAAGACTTAGACTTGTTATGGCTCGTAATGTGTTTTGTCATATTAGATTAATCCTGTCATTCAGTTTCACACAGCATCAAGTCTTGACTAGTAGTAGTTTTCTACTTTCATCTTTACATAAAATGGCCATTTCATCAGCCAGTGACCTCATAGAGGTCAATAAACACTGTTGCCTGTAACAATTTGATTGAAAACAAAACTGAAAGTAATCTGAAACAGAATAGAGAGTCTGTGCCCGGGACTGAAGCAACCATAATGCAACAGAATGGAAAGCAGAAAACTGAACTGAATTACAGCCTTAAAATCACTCAAAAGCAAAAAATCTAATAAAGTTAAACAAGAATCAGTGTGACTATCACCAAAAACATTTCACTAAGTGTTTATATTTTGTGTAACTAACCTGATTTTACACTACCACAAAGTGAACTCAGAGCCGCACTTGGCTAGAAAATGTTTTTTAGCGAACCGTCAGATCAGTGCATGTTGTCATAAAGTCCACCAGGTCAGTAGGTTCATCTAAAGATAAATGATGTGTTAGCCAGTGTGTTATTCATGTCGCTCCTGTCTGAACAAAATGTGGCTTTCCTCCTGAACGACTCCAACCTGAAAAATCTGTTTAGGGTAGATGACAATCCCATCTGTCTTCTGGGTGTTTGTCGTTGTCTCTGACAGTAAAATAATCTCTCAATTTTGCTCTATATGACAAACCCACAGGCTGTGACTGCCCCAAGCTTGTGTCGGTGTGGATAAAGAAAAAATGCTCAGCTTGTTGGACGATTTACACTCTTACATTGATTCATATGCATCAAGTGGACAAATAGGACAGATGCTGATTATTCATTTCAAAAAGATTATTATAAAGCATTAAGAAATAAAAGATTTCAGCAGCAGACACATTTGTCTCTGATCAAAATCTACTGTAAAACTTCAACATACCTTCCACTTCTTCCTCTCTGTTCTTCTCGATTGTCAAGAAGACAAAAGCAGGATGTAAGACAGTTGTCAGACTGAGGTTAAGAAGTGATGAAACAATGAAAAAGACTGAAAGTGAGGAATACAATCTCTCTCGGGGACTCCGTCTTTGAATGAGGAGGTCTGATATGTTAGCAAGGTAAATGGTGTTTGTACAGCAGCACCCTCAGAGGCTATGCTAATGTTAAAGAGGTGCTTGTGATGCATACAAATAGACTTGGCTCATGACAGCATAAAGGAGGAGAAATGTCCTTACACTGGAAACATAGAGGGTATTTTGTTGATGCCATGCTGTATACAGACTAAAGAACGCTCTCCCCTTTCTGCTTTCTCCTCCCACAGGTACTTTGACTCGGTGGACATCTGTAAGATCCACTCAGACTGGCAGGAGGTGAGGCTGCAGGGCTGCTTCCCCAGCAAAGCCAGCGGGCCGGTCACTGTCACAGCCCTCACTGTGCTGGAGAGGACGGCACTGGAGTTTGCTCTCTTCCAGGAGGGAAGCAGGTACAGTCATCAGACAACAGACAACAGCTTTTAATCCTCTCCTGCTCCTCCTTTCCTGCCCTTCTGTTTTTTCTTGTTTCCTTTGCTCTAACCCATCCATCCCCCTCTACCTCCCCAGGCGTTCAGACACAGCCGACAGCCACTTGCTGGACCTGTGCATCATGGTGTTTCGCGCCTCCTTCGGCAGCGGCAACAAGCTGACCCTGGGCCGCCTGTTGGCCCACAGCAAGCGAGCGGTGAAGAAGTTTGTCGGCTGCGATGTGATGCTGGAGCCGGGGGAGTACGCTGTTGTCTGCTGCGCCTTCAACCACTGGCAGATGAATGTCAGTGCGACGGGAGGTCCAGCAACACCCAGTAGGTGTACAGACGCAGATGTTTACTCATCATTAACAGAAGCTTTCGGTTGACCTCACCTGTTAGTTTGTGTCTGAAACTAGTTTTTCTGAAGTACATCACTGTGTCCTTCTCAAAGTCTCCAGCCCTACCAGTGGAGCAGCACGGCGGCCCAGCCAGGACTTCCCCGGCTACATCCTCGCCATCTATAGCTCCAGACAGGTGATGGTGGAGCAGGTGGAGGCGACCGCCACCACGCTGGCCGATGCCATCATACTCCTCACGGAAAACAAAGGGGAAAGACACGAGGTGAGACACAGTCATTTCAGAACAAGCACGGTTGCAATGAAACAACCCATACATCTGTTAAATATCTGTAACTGTATCCTCACTCCATAGATTTCATTTCCCCGTCTTCCCATGTAGCTACACACACACACACACACACACACACACACACACACACACACACACACACACACAAACAGGTTTCATCTTTGGATATCATATATATGCTTGTGAAGCTGTAGAACACTTGCAGCTCTGCAAGCCACTTTGAGATAACACTAGATTTCCTCAGCAGAGCCCAGAATCCTATTTTGCCTTTACACATGCAAGTGTGTGCACATTATCTAACCCACACGAACAGACACACAGACACACATACACACACACTCACTCGCACCAAAGGAAACAAATTATTCTTGCTCTCCTGAACAGCGCTTTCCTACAAGTGCTGTCACATTGGCTAGTATTTTAGAGGATGACAGAGCTTTTTAAACACTTGAGATCATCTTTGTTAAATCATTCAGCTCTGCAGCTCTCCAGGAATTCGTCGCTCAAATACGCTGGGCTGATCGCTGCAGATAGCATGGCAGCCACTACACTTGTTGTGTTTAACAATATGGTTGAGAAATATTTTTTTGGGGGATATTAAAAAATAATTTGACCAGTCCTGAGTCATGGAAAAAGAGCCACATACATGTCTTGCTGACAGATATTTTTTTAGTTACAGTGGGATTCGTGGACGGTTACTGTTACTGAGGTGAAATGACAGCGGTCACTGCATGAGAGATGAAAGTCGTTTCACCTTCAGAGAGAATTGTTACTGTGAATGCAATATGCAGTCTTTTAGCATTTTAACACTATTACAAAATACTGCTGGTGCTGATATGACATTTACAATGCAGATACAATGTAGTTAGAATCTGAAACATCAATGTCGGTAACTGGTACCAGTTCGTCAAGGACCAAGGTTTTTCCTTTTTTTTGCTCTGTCATTTGATAGTCCTACTGTCAGAAATCTAGCAGTCTCTCTGCAGATAGTAACCTCAATAGAGCAGAATGCAGTGTTGCCATGAGGTATGAAGAATATGAAACTTATTTTTCACTTGTTACACTATTAGAAGAAATATCGCTCTCTTCACCTACATCACCCTGGGGCGCACTGTATATGCAGATATATGGGGGATATATATAGAATACAAATCCCAGAACACCCCCAAATTGGAGGGAAAGCAGCACAGTATGGCCCAAAAAGTTTCAAGCTGGTAGGAAACACAAGCTGACTTTGGCTATCTGAATGTTACAGATCTTTCCTATTGTCTATGGTTTCTCTTTCACTTCATGAAACCTTATGATCGTTACGTTTCAGGCACCAAAGTTGTTTATGTTCACATCAGATACGACCATCTGTAACACTAGATGGTCCATATAACAATTTAGCACTAATTTCATCTGCATAGACCTTCGCTGACCACTAACTGTTCAGCCCAGTTAATCGAAATATTATCAAAATTGCAATATCCAAATGGCAGGAGCTGCAATTCTTTCTTTAGAGATAAAGACATACCATATATGAAGCGTGTCTCTGGTGCAGCAGAGATGCCCCGGCCTACAAATCATATTCTCCACACATAAAGGAACGTGCAAAAATCACATCATCATAATTTTTCTTTTTTTTTTTCAGTGAAAATGCGAAAATTACCATTCTCACTGAAATCGTGACTCATATCACAATCCCAATATCTGCTAAAATATGATCTTTTTTTCGATATCATTCAGCCCTGCCACTGCATCCTTGCTAATACAGCACTACCTGCTTTCAGTCACTTCAACTCCTGTCACCTTCCTCGCTCTCTTGTGTGTATTAGCATTTAGAATGTGTGAAAATTAGGCTCTGTGGGGGGCCTGAGAGGATTATTGTTGCAATAAATGTTTAAACCCTCGTGCTGAGTGTGCTGACTAAACCTATAACAACAACCTGTAGGCCTCATTAACATCACGACTGTATGATCTATGTACATTTTCAGCTTTATTTTTTCTTCTCAGGGCCGTGAAGGCATGACGTGCTACTACCTGACCCACGGCTGGGCGGGGCTCATCGTGGTGGTGGAGAACCGCCACCCCAAATACTACCTCCACGTCTCCTGCGACTGCACTGACAGCTTCAACGTGGTGTCCACACGCGGCAGCCTCAAGACCATCGACAGCGTACCGCCTTTGCACAGGTCCGCACTTGTACCCCGTTCTCTCTCTTCCTCACATACACACAACTCTGAAAGCTATATTTTGCCTTGGTAGGAATCACATGAATAGATAACAAGTGAGGAGATTAAATGCTCTGGGAACATTCGGTACAGGTGCAGCAAACATCCACCCATTTAGACGATTATATCTGTACATACACACTTATATAAACGCAGTGATCCCGGAGGATTAGCGCTCTATGTTTCTTAATAATCTTCGTCAGGCTGGTCTCAGCACAGTTGTAGCTGCTTTTGTTTTCTGTTGATCCCAATTTACGCTGCCCTTTAAAGACTTGAAAAATATTATGGGTAGATGCACACCTGCAGAATCGAGTATGATGTAGCTGTTCACACGTCATTAGGTTTCTCTGAATTTAGGTTCTTTGGACGTCTACTGTGTGAACGCTTCAGTCTCACAGACACATTACTGCACATTAATGCAAATTTACGGCCTTATCCCTTCATAGTTATGTGCCGCATAATAGGAAACTGTAAAAAGTCACCATGCATGAGAACCATGTCGTTTTCTCATCTAACAAGAACATTATGTCAATGCACTTGATAAAAACACTTAGAGCTGCATTATCTCAGTCAGACTGTCTGATGTTCTTACTCACTCACTTTATACAGTCAATACACTTCATAATAAGTGAAAATTGGAAATCGTATTTAGGATATGATGTAATTGTCACTGGATATTTTTTTCACCATATGTCACGATCAACCGATCCTAGCTTTTACTTTTTTGAGCAACTGTTAAACAGTCCCCAGATCAGTGGCGTTTTTAGGGACTGTATGAAATTGTTATAAGGGGTCAGAAAAATAATTTTTTGGGAGAGCAGTGAAGGGTCTTTTAATTTTTTCTCATCCCGCATTTATTGTCAAGTTCAGTCTTCCCTTGTGAGATTTATTTTTGCAAAATGTAAATATATATTTGAATTAAATAGTTACACCAAAAAGATCTATAGCAGTATTTTGAAGATAAGGGGAGGCTCCAAAAAAATATTAATAATGCTGGGGAAGACTTTGTTTTTCTAAAATATAATATAATTTTCAAAAATATAATATAATATAAGATTAAACCCACCCTCCTCACCCTAATCATTTTCATACACTCCCTTACTTTACTGCATCATACACAATTCACAACTGAAGAGAATCATATTTATATTCAGAAAGCTCAACATGTCCTTGACTGAGGCTCAAAAGGCCCAAAAGTGGAGGTGTCTCTCAGCACCTCAGTGTTGTTTGCAACCCTCTCTGTCTCCCCCTGCAGGCAGGTGCTGGTTGTGCTTTCACAGCTGGAAGGAAACGCTGGCTTCTCCATCACACACCGCCTGGCTCATCGCAAGGCAGCCCAGGCCTCTTTGGGAGACTGGACCCCCACTAAAGCCACCCACAGCCCGCAGCTCACCCCGGACATTGATGGCCTGCACCGGCCCAGGCCACTATGACCACCGCCCACTCTGCCCTGTACATACACAGACTCTAATCCAATGAACTGTCAGACCACTGGAAAACCAGGCCAGGGTGGTCGAGTGGTGTGTGCAGCCCAAAAACACGGAGAGAGATGTGTATTTGTGTATTTTTGGATGAACACACACCTGAATGTAAAGCATGAATGGGCAGCATTTATGTGCTCTCCTCCTAATGCTCCTTAAATGCTAAAGTTTTCATCCGGCCCTCACGAGCTCTGTCCCTTGCCAAGTGGATGTGCCATGTCAGGATGAAATGAGGGAAGCAGGCCACATAGAGTGACCAAGACGTACTCACAAAACGATGATTCACCCGGGCATCTAACAGGATCCACTTCAGGCTACTTTAAATTCTGGAGGTTTTTTTTTTTTGTACAAGCGCTGTATGTGGAACAGATGTCAGCCCTCGGTTTCATATGCTCGGAGATGACCCTGCTTTCACTGAGCTTCACAAAAGCCAGGGTGGAGTGCTGTAACTACTGAGCCATTTGTGGGCCCACAACCTATGAGCCAATCACCTGCAACGATCAGACACCCCCCCCCACACACCCACCCACCACCCACCCACACCCTTTTCTGTCATGCACAAAGACAGCTAACAAAGTGGGATATTTCAGGGGAGGTTTATCTCAGCCAGCTCTCAACACGGTACTCAATGAGCCAAACCCAACTTCTCGGTTTACTCATAGTCATACATGTTTTTTTATTTGAGACAATACACTCGTCAGTATCAGTCTTACTTGTTTTATACATGACCCTTATTGCTGTCTTGTCCATATTTGTGTTTTTGCAGTCGTAGAAAAAGCCATCATTCATACAGTACTGTGTTGTCTCCACTCCCCATCATCACAGCAGTGCTGTATAGCGCTCTCTTGCTCAGGACCAAACTCATGATTTGTATGGTAAGCTGGAGTCAAGCAAAACCTCAAGCTGATTCAGTGACAGGTGTACGGTAGCTGGAATAGCATCTTTCTGTATCGCTGTTGTTCGTTACCACTTACTGGCCACGCTGTGGTGTAGAAAGTGTTGTTGTGTTTGGGAGGTTTTATCTTGCGAAGCACTGACACATAATAGAATTCTCACCCTAGTGCTTTGATAGACAAGCAAAATGTTTTGGCTTTTTCCCCAACAGAGAAACAACCACTGTTTTTCCTTTCTCTTATTTCTTTAATTCATTTTCACTCAGCCTCAGCCTCAGTTTGGGGTCTAAACACCGGGGGGCGAGTGATCACTTGATCAGTTTCGGGCACACTGCCTTTTCACATCCAGTTGAGCAGTTAGTTTACATCTGAACACACTAGACATTATAGAGAGTGAATTAATGCTGCATCTTGCACTCTTGGATTGTGAGTGATCCTTTTTGGTACAGATGGTCAATGAGTATTTGTCTATATCCCACACTTCAGCAGTTTGCCAGTATGTCGATTTACACTGTAGTGTACTTAGGGAGTACTAGAGGAGCTACTGGCTGTTTGAACAGTCAGTTTGCCATAGGGGAGTTCTTAAGAGGAGCTGCCGAGTTTACTCTGGGAGGTCAGGGACCACTTTTGTTTGCTTGGGTGCAGCATGAGCATCTGGGCCATCCTCCCACAAGAATACACCGACAGCACATTAGCGACAGCAGACAGAGTCCTCGTGTAATAGCAAATTACCGTTTTGTCAGACTGCGTGCACACATAACTAGAGAGAGAAGGGACCCCTGAGACATGTTGTGACACAGAAAATAGTTTAGTTCTCTCGGCGTGGTTTCTAAGGGTGTTTTGCCCACAGCTGTCTCACGCAGGTCCTCTTTAAGCCGCTCCTTCTTTCCAGTTTCTCCACTGTCAAGGCCATTTCTCCTCTTTCACTAAGGATCTCTCAATCCTCACCATGGCAACATACTGTAGGTGTTTTATCAGAGGGGGGTGGGGCAACTAATGCGGTACTATAGCAACAAGTTGATGTCTTACTATTATGTAGTGAAATGGGAAAAAACTTGAAAGCTGATAAGCAAAATCCCCGGAGGACTCGTACAGTGAACGATTGTTTTGGTAGAAAAAAATTAATTCTTCATGTCACGAACACTTTGAGTCTGAATATTGTTCCTCCGAGAGATGATTCAGCTCAGCGACAAACAAGTGCTGAAACGTGCATCATCTCATGAGCATCGTCCCTTCTGTCGGTATAGTCAGCACTGTGTCCCGATGCTTGCAGTCCCGCAGACTCGCTCTGCACAACCGCGTCTGCCAGCGCCGGCAGGCCGAGCTTCACGACATCTTCAGGACACTTTGTGAGAAAACTACTACAGCAGAGTAAAGTTTCTTTAAAGAAACCTTAAGCTGAAGTAAGTGTAAATATGTTTTCCAAAGAAACATGATGTGTAATGACCACTTTCAGACGTCTGTTTGTCCTATGAGTGTGAGTGCGTGTGTGCGTCATCACAGCCAAGCAGCTGTGAGTATAGTGTCTAATTTATTGGTATAAGTGATTTGCAGGCCTGTTGTCTAATGAATACTGTTGATTACTGAGCTGATGAATGACAGATAAAGGAATGTGATAATGTAAGGCTTTAGTTTGAGCCCAGAGGGATTAGCTTGACGAGAAATGAACCTGCACTGAAACACCTGCAAAGACAAGGCACCTCAGAATTCAGTGTCACTGCTGGATCACTTTACATTTACATGAGATTTTTGTTTTTTACTTTTTTTGTCATAATTGTCATTTTTGGCTCTTGCTTGTGTCCTATGAGCCCACTCCTCTTTCTATTAAGTTGTAGTGGGGACTCTTCTGTGCTTCAGGGGCGCCCCCTGCTGCTCAAGAGGCTGCAACCAGGGAGAACCTGGTCCTTGACAGAGCAGCCAACACAACGCCTTTTCTCTCCTCTCCTTCGTCTGGTTTCCTCCTTGTAAATTGTACAGACTGCAAACATAAGCCACACAAAAGATAAAAAATGGGAAAAAAAATCAACTGACCCTTTTAAACTTGTAAAAAAAAATAAATAAAAGTATGATAGTAGAAACAAAAAAAGAAACCTAATGCTGAAAAAAATGGATCTCTGATGAATGTGAGATATATTTTATTGATCTTTTCTGGGGGAGGGATATGAGTATATGTGTACAAACATATGTATGTTTAATTTTCAATCTCAGGTTCCAATGGACCAAATAAATTTTTTTAAATTAAAATCCAACGTTTGTCATTATTACAAATATAATATTTACCACGTTCAAGTTTCCATCAATTATACACTAACACAGAGGCTTCCTCAGTGTGCGACTCAAAGAAATGACCTGACAGGCACGCAGGCCTGTCAAAGCTGAGATGATTTCAGATGTTTTCTCTGCTCAGACTTGCACTTGATGAATAATAAGAGGAAGTCAAAGCTTTCAAGCTGCCGATATTTAAGAAGAAAAAACACAGTGTGATGAAAGGATAAAGTATTTACATATCAAACATGTTTTTCATTTACACACACATCGCGCTTGTTTACTGCACTTCTATTGATTTCAGAAATTTGCCCTCTGATGTGTTTGTTATCACTTCATTCCCTGGCCTGTGATGTGCATCTTCTCATCTTGTGTTTTTGAGGAATATGTCACTCTGGGGTGTTTAATCCTTGTGTTTGTGTTTATGTGTCCACTCACTGTTTGAGTCTCCACCTCTTCTCCCAAACCTCCCACCCACTTTTTTCTAAAAATGGACTTCTGTCCCGCTTTCCACCCCTCTCTTCTTCTGCCCCCACCTTCCTCCAGGGCTACCCATCTCCCCAACCCATCCATGTCCCTCTCCCTCTCCTTAGTTTACCCCCACCCCCAAACCTCAGATGTCAGGAGCACTTCATAGTCCTCAACCCACCCTTCTCCTACTTTGGCTCTGGGGGGGTAGGTTTTCAAGACACCAGCAGAGACAGTGTGAAGGCTCCATGAGGTGTTCACATCTAGCATAAGGACCTGTCAATCACTTTCTTCTTTCCTGTACCGTGGAACCAAGACAACTGAGAATCATCTAGAAGCCACTCTGCTCGCCTGGAACCAAAGGTATGGCTGCTAAAATATCTGTGATAATGCATTGGCCGGATAGTCAGTGGAGGGACTTTGCATGCTTAAAAAAACTGTCATGGTCAGATATGTAAGGAGAGAAAAGCAAAGACCTGCTCTCCCGCGGGAAATCTGTTCATGCCTCCCTGGTGCTCTGTAGATATGGAGGAACTAATTAGATATAGACCTTTCAATTTTGTCTGCAGACATGATAAGACCAAAATCATTCCCCAGCAACACTTAGTATGAAATTGAAAAGATACAAAGTTTCTCACAGTAGAGCAAAAGTTGTTTTGGAGGAGGAGTGCCGAGAGTACAAAAGAAAACATTTATTGTGCCATTCCCAAGCTAAGAATAGTGTTTTATTGCTGCGACCTGTTTGGAGTTAATTGCACTGTGGCGTGGTTTCAAGGCCAGGTTAAGTACTGCTGCACTTTAGAGACAGGTTAATCACAATCAACAGGAAAAAGAATTACGGGCACTTGATTTAAGCCAAATAAATTAGATTAAAATGTAGCATACATGCTGCCACGCATGAGTCTAAACAGCTTAGTCTTGGATGTTAGTTCCCAGTAAAATCTAAAGAAAGACTGAAGGAGACATGTGAGCTACAGAGACGTGTGCTGCTACCACCACCACCACCACCACCACCACCACCAGATGATCACATTTCCCTCCCCTCTTTATTTTCCCTCATGTCAAACCAAGTAAATAAATCATGTGACATGCAAGTAGGGGTGGATGGCTTGTGGGGACGAAGGATTTTGGTCAAGGGCAGAGACACTGTGACGCAACTGGAACACGTCTGATGCAGCCTCTGCTTGTCTGAGATTTGGGCGATCCTCTCGTTGTGAGAGTTTCTGTCATCAGGGCATCAGGTTGGAGTGTGTGTGTGAGTGCGGGTGCAAGAGGGTGTATTTTAAAGCACAGAGGCAAGCCTGGTGTACTCTACCCCACTGCATCTGTTCAGAAACGCTACCCATAGCTGCCTTGAGATTAGCGCAATGTATACTATGAAGGAATCTATGCTGTCTGTATTTATGCATAGCTCAAATCACTGTTGCTTGGTAAAAAAAAATCTCATATGCTTTAAAATTCTTACTTTGTGTACTTGTGTAATGTTATCATTGATACTGAAATAGCTTTTGTGGGTCCTGGCAGCAGTCATGCATTATCAAGAGCAGCATTTCAAACCCTGTCTGGAATCATCAAAAAGCAGATAAAATCTTTGTTGTGTCAGTGCATTGTGTTACTTGGTTGTCAGGGTGCATACTACAAATACCTCTGTGTGGTTTGGAACTGTACATCCTCCCACTAAAGTCTATATTTCCAGCTCTGCTTTTTCTCATTTGTCAGTCTGACTTTGGGGTGAGGGGGTGGGGGCTGGGGGGCCTGGGGGGTCCCTATCTCTGTCTCTGTCTGTGTCCCTCACAACCCACTGACTCTGCTTTGTATCTGTCAGTCGTCTGTCAGGTTGAACTGGCGGAGGGGTGTATTGTTTCCGGTATCGGGACCAGT